AGCCAAGATAAATAGGACATTTTCCGAGCAGCACCTGGGTGTTCTGGGATTCGGTCTGCCTAAGTGCTCATATACTTCTCCCCTAACTGCTGAGAGACAAGGAAGGTGGACTGATTGGCCTTCTTTCTGCCCAGCAACAGGGTGTCAGGGTGCCTGATAGAAACAAGAGTGGGCCAGATTGAATGGCTGGCATGATCTGATGACATGACCCCTCTTTGCAACCTTTTCACTTATCAATGGGGGCTTTTTCAAGTTCAAGGCCTGGTTGGGTGGCCAGTTTACACAACTATTTTTTAACCCTTTAACGAGTCATGGTGCATTTTGGGGGGTGGCTATTGGCCCGCATCAAATCCTGGCCTGAACCCACTATTTTCTGTGTTCAGAATTTGTCCGGCTATCTGAGAAACTGGACCACATCAGCTCTTCCCTACAGCTAAGAATTCTTTCTAGTTTACATGAAGTATCAGCAGCAGAAGACCTTGGGAAACACCACTAAAATTAAGTTTTGAGCAAATCATCAATAGGTCACAACAAGAATTATTTTTATTTACACACTGAATATGCACTGGCATTCTTCACTTAATGTCTGAACACACCCTAGACAGTCATGGGATTCAGTCCCAGAGAGTGTTGTCTCTCTTGCCCACAATAGTTATCTTTGCGGTAATATGCACAATCTCATGGTCTTCACTTCTAACATGGACGGCGAATTATGCAAGACATCAGAACCTGCCAACTAAAGGGAAGACACACTGTGTTGTTTCTTTGAAGTGTATGGCTTTTGTATCTGACAGATGTGCAGTATACTCAGAAATGTATACATACTACAGTATAGATATATATCATAATCCCATAGGATGAAGCCCTTTGAAATATATGCTTTAGACAGTTCAATTAATGTTTTATTACAGAGAAAAGCTTAATTAAAGGTCAGCGTCAGCTGTCTTGTCTTTCTGTTGTAGAGGAGTCACGGCAGTGTACAGTGGAAAATTCCACGCAAAGACAGAGCCAAATACTTGCTGAAGGTTGAAGTCCTGGGGTTAATAAGGCTTTGTCAATAGCCGAAAAAATTTGTTTTTTTGCCTTGTGTACACCAGACTGCTGTTTATTCTAATATCACGTGCATTGAGGACATTTTGCTATAGGTTTTTGTTTTTTATATACTGCTAATTTGCACAGTGCTCATCCTCCATTTCCTTTGGTCGGTTCAGTCAAACCCACTTTGCAAGTAGTTTGACAGAAACATTGTATGATTTTTCCTTTTAAAACAAGTAATTTGTATAAAGCTTAATATAGGAAGAAGTTTTTACCTTAGATAAACTGTTTTAGATAGATAAAACTATGAAAAAACTATGTTTTATCAATGTTAAACTAATTATTAGGAATGCTAACACTAACTACATTTGAGTTGAAATTGTAATATTGATATTGCACTGTTATAATGAATAATCATTATAAAATGGGTTTTATCAGTGTATGATAAGATAGTGATTTCCTCTGTACAAATATGTTTTTTGTAAATATCATTGGGATGATTTTTTAAACTATTCTTTTGTTTTTATTTAATTAAATCCCAAGCCCAAGGGAGAAGAAACACAGAAGCAATTATAGAATAAAACAGATCACAGATCAGTTTTAGTCAAATAATAAAGGAAAAGAAGGAAGACATAAGGGGAACAAACATAATTAATCAAGGAAACCAGAAATAGGAAAACTACTTTATCAACAGCAGTGTTCTGAGCTACTGACAGAAGCTGAGAGTGGTTGAGCTATAGAGATTTTCAGAAGCAAAATGTAATGTAAAGAAAAAAAAATAAAAAGCTCCAACTCCTCAAAATAGTCTTCTTCACTGCATTCACCACTAGAAGAAAACATTATCAGTGTAGGCTGAGAAAACATCAGCCAATAGAACTTATGGAGTTTGGAGGAGAGCAGCACCCATTATATAGTTCAGTAAATTATTATTTTATTACAGTCTCTTCAATATTTTTTCCTTCATAATCTAAAACCTTAATTACAGCTCAATTTTACATATTGTCCCTGTCCATTAGTGAAAGAGGCATTTGCTTCTAAGAAAATTAATATAAATGAGTTTCAACTGAATATAGGCTTAATGTACATGAACAATATTGTTAGGAAATAGCTGGAGAATTAATAATACACTATTATTAATTAATAGTGCAGTAATAATCAATATTCAACTCCATGAGTTCTTTCAAAGCACATAATAAAGTTATGTAAACTGTACTAAAGAGCAACCTTTAATCATATAATAAAACTTGGTCTTACAAGGTATAACTCCTCATGTCTGATACTAGACACGTGAAAGATTAATTTCACCTTAATTGCTTTATTACTTACAATGTTAACAAGTGTGCTGTGCTTTTGGGGACCTCATAACAAAGTTTACAAATGTATAATACTCTCAAAATAGAAATGTCAGCTTAAAAATTCTCACCATATATGCACTTTTATTCTTAAATACTATTTAAAATACATTACATGCACTTCCTAAGTTCTACAAAATATTCCCCCATTCTGGATTTTAGCTGCTGAGCAGAATCAGCTATAATGTATTCTGCCTTTCTATTTTTTAGCAATATGATGTAACATACATATATATATGTAGATCACAGACACATGGATTAGATTTCTGCGAATTGAACATAACTGTCACAAAACAGAGGTGCAGATCCCCAGTAGAAATGCTATTCTTTACAAATCACAAAAGAACCTCTTTAACAATACAGCTATGCTGATTCTGTCGCTCCTACTACAACTACAGCGTTCATCAGGTAGTGAAATTAGCTGAGAAGAAAAAAAAAGAAGAAGGCTTTGCCTGCAAACTGTTATCTTGACATCCTTGTGACAAAGGAGAACCCCACCACGAAGAGCACTGAGTTTATCTTGCTTCCCTAGAGTGCGCATTCTGTTCAAGTTTAACTCAGATCAAAAGCTCAAATAAAATGCACAGGTAGTCAGTCTGCCTTGGAGATTTGCACACACCTCAGAAATACGTTAAAAACAGAGCCAGTATGCAGTAAGCCTATCACTCTAGTAATTAGTAAAGTTCAATATTCACAAGCTATTACCACCTCATGTGCAGTATTTGTTCCATGGACAAACAAGGTCGCTCCTTTTTTCCAAAGTCCCTCTACACTAGAAGTATTCAGCATTGCCACCTAGGGTTTGAACCATTCCACAAAAAGATACACTCTGGAAAGGAAAAAAATATATAATTACTCTAAATGTCAAAGCTAGCTTGTCAAACTGGCAAAGACTCAATGCTTCTTACAATTCTGTGGCAAGCAGATTGTTCATTCCTGATGACGTTCATGACTGTTAGCTCTCGTGGATCCTGTGTACCCTTGTGGGGCAAATATTAACTCATGTGGGTTCATTCTCCTGCTGTCTCCCCCTCTGTATTCAACTGCCATCAACACGCTATTTTTATTTTGTCAGTCTCTAATGAATCCCTTTATAGTCTTGACTTGAAAACAACCCATTTAAGACTGGACTATTCCACCCCATTTTATTCTGATGTCACAGAGGGACCAAGATGTAAAGAATAAACTAAAATCCAAGAGAAGAATCAATACACCATAAAGAAAACCTCCTTTCTTTTCACTAACTCAGTTATACAGTGTTAATCTATTCTTTTTACTTGTTTGGGGGAGTATACTGTGTCTGTTAAATTGTGTAAGAGCAATGAGATCGTTTATTTAAATAAGAAGACGGTTTGTCTAAGCCCTCTATAGACATATTTAATTAGGGTGCAGTGGATCTGTTGAAAAATTAATAACTGGTTGCCTTATGAGGGGCATGCAGGGTCCTATCACTTGTTCTTACCTCCTCCCCACCCTCTGCATTCTACAAACATTGCATTGGGGTCAAGGTTACAGTAATGGTATCTGACACCATGTGAGTAAGCACTTTTAAATGCAATAACAAGTGTGATGTGTTTTGTAACTGTGCTACAGAAGTATGTTGTCTTTGAAACAGTGCTTTGCACTGCAGAGTAACTTACAGAACCTTACCTTTAGAAGGATGCATGGTATTACATACAATTTGATAAAGAGCATTCTTGTTATTATAAAAAGTGCTTCCCACCCCATCAAAACAGATGTTCCACTTACCTATGAGTATTTCTATCGGTCTCTATTCCTATATTAATCTACATCAGTCATTCAATAGATATTCGGACATACTAAATTGAATAATGCCTTGTTTTCTTATACTTTATATTACAGGCAAAAAGGACAATGTTGTAGAAGCTTTTGACTGCCTTTACAGCTTGTACCTCATCCTAACGCATATATGAAGCGGGAATGAAAGACATAAAACTGGACATGACATTCACGCTGCTGTTGAAGTTTAAAAGAATAGTTTTCTGAATTACGTTTGTATCAAACATTTATTTTTCGTTCTGCAACAGAGAATTACCAGCGATACATAATGTTCTACATAAAATGCAGAGCGTCTACTGCACTTAATAGTTACACAGGTGTCGGCTTATTTCGGAAATCAACAACTTATTCAACCCGAGCATTCATCCAAGTGACGAGTCAGAAATCACCTGAATGCCGTTTAGCTCTATTGTAATTAAGGAAGAAACACTTGACGATAAACACAATAAAAAAATCGAAGGGGGTTGCAAAATTGAGCAAATGTTTGTTCAGCGAGCTTCCTAGCGGTGTTTGTAGTAGTAGCATTTACACACACATATCAGCTCCCTGTCAAACGTCGAAGTCGGAAGGGAATTTGTTTCCAAGTGAACTGCGTCACCCTGAGTATTTGTTTATTTATAGAGTAATGAGCAAGGGCACTTCCTTGGTCTACCCGGGGTCATGCGATAGTCACAGCGTGCTTCCAAAAATGAATGGTGGGCTCGTCAACCACACCAATCTGCAAAGGTCCATGATTGGTTTAGCGATCAGTTGTAACTATCATCCCTTAGGGTATATATTGTCAGCAACCGTGACCTCTTCTGCTAATGAGAGAAAACAAATATATTAAATTATACGCTGCCTAGCGAGAAGTGCCGTGCAGAAGTGCTATAATCAATTGGCAAAATGAGAACGCAAGTTAAGAAAGCTCACCGGATTCTGGGTTTCCTGAAAAAGAAGCCACTGGGGACCCAGCGCTCCATGCCAACATCTTCTGCGTGCGCGCTTGACACCAAGGTTGCGGTCGAGCTACCTGTATCCCCTTGCGGGCACAGCCTTTCTGCCATACCGGGACCCAAGAGCTGGCCCCTTGTAGGAAGCCTGATCGAGCTCCTCCTCAAGGGGGGTCTGAAAAGGCAGCATGAGGCACTGGTAATAAACCCTAAGAACTTTCTTATAATAAAGCAGTAATGGTGTGACAGAGAGAAAATGCATTGTAAAAAACCGAAGCATTTCAAAAGAAGCAATTCACATCGGCATAGTATTGTTCTTTTTAAGAATTTTGCAAAGGCGTTTTAATTTTCGTCATGCAACATCTCTCCCTCTCCGTCTCTCGTGTAAGTTAATATACATTTTTTTTTTGTCTCGGTGTATTTTACCTTTCCAGATTGATTACCACAAGAAGTTCGGGAAGATCTTTCGAATGAAGCTCGGCTCCTTTGAGTCCGTGCACATTGGCGCTCCTTGCCTGCTGGAAGCTCTGTACAGGAAGGAGGGACGTTACCCGCAGCGGCTGGAAATCAAACCCTGGAAAGCGTACAGAGACCTGAGGGACGAGGCGTACGGGCTGGTTATCCTGTGAGTATGGAGGCGCAGTTCTCCCCAGCGAGGAGACGCGACTGGCACTAGCACCTGTGTCCACCAAGTCTGAACTCCAGTTTATGTATCATTGATTGCGAAGGAATTTAGACATATCCTTCACTTAAAGCAATACCATTAAAAATAAAGAATAACGAACGAAATAGAACACGGAGGGGGAGATCCAAGATATTTTATTCCCCCTCCAGTTTATGTGGTCCGTGTAATTGAAATGCTGTGCCGGGGTTATCCGTATAGGCTAACCTGCTTTGCGAAGGTGGAAAAATGCATTTCCGAGCCCGATCTAGTAAGGACTTGAGAAAATTAGTTTTTTTTGCAAAGCATTATTTCAAAAGTAATTAACACTCCCCTGTTGAGTCAAGCGGTAAGATTCCAAAGTACTGTTTTTAAAGGTTAATTTCTTAAAGCTATTATCACGTCCTCCAACATGTACAGACTGAGGCGAAAATATTTTGTAGAGACACGGCTAGCATTTCTGAATGGAGTAAGTTGCATTAGGTTTCCGAGTTTGAATTTAATGGGTGTTTTTTTTTTATAGTGGTGTCTTTTAAAGTAACAATCCCAGTCCCTTTTAAATATATTTCTATCGCAAGAGACACCACATTTGGAGAAAGTATAGCTTTATATATTTTATTTAATTATATTCTTTACATGGGCTAGAGTCCTTTTCGGATTTTACTCCTGTATTGCGCCCTATGCGATTCTGAACGGAGTCAGAAATGAAGCAGGATTGCTTCACTGTTGCTCCCCGAACGTTACCTGGGGCTTCATGATAGTGGGCAGATAGATGTATAAATACTTGGACGTCGTTCTTGAAATATTTGGATATTATGTAGATATAGAAACCCATTCTGTATACATTCAAATCCCACTGATTCCACTATTGCAATCAGAAGCTGACTCTCCCCCCGTCTCCTGTTCTCTCACACAGCGAGGGAAAAGACTGGCAAAGGGTGAGGAGTGCCTTTCAACAGAAGCTCATGAAGCCTACAGAAGTAGGAAAACTGGATGGAAAAATTAATCAGGTAGTTTATCCTTTAAAACTGAACCCGGTTGTAGAATAGTTTTACAGCAATCCTGGAAGGTTATTATATTTTTGATTGGTTATTTTTTGGGGGGGGGCTTAACATCCAATAACATTTGAGTCAAACATCAAGGGGGAAAAAAGCAATCCCTGAGAATCTCCGTCTCTCTGCTTCTCCCCCTCTTTCATCTCTCCTCCCCTAATTCTCACCCCTTTCATTACCCATCATTTTAACCTGTGATCACAACTAGTATGGTGCCATGGACCCCATCTCATTCTCTGTACAGAAGCAGAGGTGTGGTTAATTTTGGTGGCTGACAGATGTAGCCATACAATGTCCATTGTACAAAAAACAACCTCAACCTAACAGCAGTTGAAGGGGAAAATATTTCGGGATCTGTAGCTTTTCGGCAACAGTAAGGCCAGCTAGCAAAATCGAACCCCCTACTTTTCAAAGGATGAACTGTATAGCCGTCATGGAGAAAAAGCCACAAGGGCCCCACAGGACATGTACTGCTGAGTATCCTCTGCTGTGTCATAGAAATTCCTGATAATAAATGGCTTCCAGGAAGAAATAATATCAGGACATGCCTGAAACCTGAGTGTACAGTGGTTACCACAGTGACAGAATTCACACCCTATGATTACGGGCGAAATAAGTTTCTTATGTGTGGGACCAGACATTTTCTGTGAAACCTCTCATATAGGATTGATAAATGACTGGTTTCTGGAAAGCTTATGAGAATGAAAGATAACTACCAGTAGCCCTAAAATCCATTTTGTGATTTGCTTTGCACTTACACTATAAATAAATATAAATTATTTATAATGTCAATAAAATAATAGCTCACTTCTAATAACTGTGCCATAAATAACATGGAAATTAAATTTGTTTAAAAATACAGGTAATGGCTGACTTCATTGACAGGATTGGAGTTGCAAGTGACAACAATGGCAGAATTCTGGATTTGTACTGTGAGCTGAATAAATGGTCTTTTGAAAGTAAGTTTGATTAATGTTATTTAACATTTATCTATACTGATGAGCGTTATAAGTTTATGACCTATGGATATTAATATATGTACATTTAATTTAGTTCTCTCTGTACAATTCACCTTTCACCAATTCACCTTTCAAGAGGGACAAAGACAAAGAACGTGGATCAACAAACAGACCTTAAACATAACACACACAATTGCAGAACAGCCCATCAGATCTATTAAGTATTTTAATATTGCAATGTGACTCTTTCTGTTGTTAATTCATGTTTTATCTATGTCTAGCTATCTGCTTAGTGCTGTACGACAAGAGGTTTGGCCTACTGCAGAAAAATGTGAATGAAGAAGCACTGAAGTTTATTACAGCAATAAAAACGGTAAGTGGGGGAAAAAAACTAGGCCCTTTTACACATAAAGGGCTTTATCTGGGAGGCTAACTTTATTACTTTTGTAATAAAGCTAATACTACAATTAACAGTGACTTTGAGGCAAAGAACTAGAAGTGGCAGGCAAAATGTTCCAGTCTTAATACAGCACATTGAACTGAATGCACCTTCACAAGGCTTTAGAAAACTAGGTTCATTAAGTTTGCTGCATCTGAGCATTCACAGAATAGCCCTGCAGTTCTCTGTACAAGATAATGCGTGTCTTATTTATTGCACTGGCTTGCCATTAATATTCTCAGAAGCAGGCGGTGAAAGATTCAGTGTTGGGAGTTTGTTGAGACAGCTTGATTCTACATTTTATTGTCATTGGGGGGGGGGGGAGGTAACCTTTCCAGAGAATAACTCTTAGCACCTATGTCTGTGGACCTTTCTCAGTAGAAAGTCAGATAGACCAAAATGTCAAAACCAGCCTTTTAATATAATCATCAGCTTTTAGTCTAAAGAAGGTCACAGACACCAAAGAGCCAATACTAGGTTTTAATGATATCCAGGGTTGTTAAATGGAACAAGCACACACTACCATTTTTACCCAGGTGTGTGAACTTTTAATATTGTTGGATTTGAATTGAAATATTTGAATAAATATAAATATTTAACTTTTATTGCCCATAAGGGAATTTGCCTTACATCAGGAGCTCCCAACATATAACATTTATATTTTTCTGGAAAGAAAAACAAGCTGATGATGAACTCCATGGCGGCTAACAAAATACTAGTAAATGATTTAAAAAAATAACAACAGGCAGGTACTCAGGTGTGTACAGCACCAGCCCACATTGTTTATTTTGGCTGTTTCTTTTTGTCCGCGTTAGATGATGAGTACTTTTGGAAAGATGATGGTAACTCCTGTGGAGCTGCACAAAAGCTTAAACACCAAGACATGGCAAGACCACACAGATGCCTGGGACCGTATATTTAGTACAGGTATGCGGAACTTAAAATGAGCAGAATTACTAAGTAGGTGATGTGACCTAGGAACAACTTAAAGCATGTTTCCAGATAGGTGATAAGATTTCAATCTAGTGCCTTCCGTGTAGAACACAGAGCATCTTTATTCACCAGATATTGTGTAATAAACTGGGTGACCTCTCCTGAGCAGAAATCCTGCTAATTGTTTGTAGTTGCATGATTAGGTTAAGAATGTTGACCAAAGGCTATGCTATAGATATTTTGTGTTCACTGTTCACGCCATATATAAACATGTTTGTGTTCCCTGGCATAAATACACATATAGTACACCCTTTCTTCACCAGGTTACCACAGTTTAATTTTTTTATTATCCACCTGAACTGTAACAACTGTAAGTTGTTAATGATTACAACCTACAATTAAGTCAAAAGAATATTTTCCAGGAAAGCTGATAATCAGAAGACTGTCAAGGATTTAATCATATGCTTCTTACTCTGTGCTAAAGCATGGCTAAAATATAAAGCTATTTTGAAAACTTCACTTTATTTTGTATTTGTCATAGGAAAACTAATAACAGTACAAGTGTCTCCCCAAACTTGAAATATACCAAGAATAAGCATTTATAAAGATTTGATTTTGATTCCTTTCTACCATTTTCTCTTCAAGAAGTTGTATGTATATATCATACTTAAGATCATATTTTAAAAGGACAGAAATATTCCTTTTGTTCTATTTTTTTTTCCCAGCAAAAATGTATATTGACAAGAGACTGAACAGACACGCAGGGGAACCTGCAAATGACTTCCTCTGTGATATCTACCAACGCAGCCACTTGACCAAGAAGGAACTGTATGCTGCCACCACTGAGCTTCAGATTGGTGGAGTAGAAACGGTAAGGCAGTCCTTTCTCAGAAGCGTAACAGTACATGAGCAGCACAATACTTGCATAGGAAGTACAGTCACATTAAAGAGGCATGGAGGCCCAGGTGCTTTCATGTTCTACTTAAAGTTAAAAATGCAGTTATTCAAGTTTAAGTGACATATTACATGAGAGATGTTTTTAAGAATCATTTATTACAGCACACTATGGAATCCATGGTAATGGATAATAAAGATATTTTAAACTAAAAGAAACTTTCAGAAGAAGTGAAATAGCACAAATATGTATGATTATTCCCATTAATTTAAGTACAAAAACTCAAAGAAGCTGTAATGTCCATTACATTCTATATATGAATATTTCAAACTGGTATCCATTGAATTCTTAGAGAGTAAGGTGCACAGTGAGAATCAGCAAGCAGGTTTCATTTTGAGACATTATCAAACACTAGAGGGAGTGAGTGGAACAGCACTACTCCAGTCGCAAATAAATTGGGAATAACCTTCTCGCAGTAAGAAAAAAATCTGTACTTCTAGAAGTGTGCTACCACCATATGACATTGACAAAAATCACCTATCCAAATGTTTTGTGTTTACAACAGCTGCTGTCAAAATTACTTTCCTGATTTTCAATATAAACAATAAAGGCAAATATAACCATGATGAATGAGAACAGGCGATCTGTATTACAAATGATGAAAGGGGACCGTTTCCTTGTGTTGCAGACTGCCAACGGCTTGCTGTGGGCTGTGTTCAATCTCTCTCGCAATCCGTGCGCTCAGGGGAAACTTCTCCAGGAAATAAAAGACGTAGTGCCCGTCAATCAGGTCCCTACTACAGAACTTATCAAGAAAATGCCTTACCTCAAGGCCTGTCTAAAAGAGTCAATGCGGTATGTAAACTTATTTTAATACAGGCCTCTGACCCCACTTTGTTTCACATTATATCTTGCCAGATATGTGTTTTTAATTAATATTAGGAAAAGATCACTTCATCTAATAAACTGTGAACACAGATCCTGAGGAGCAGCAAATCGGTTTGACGTTTAGCACGCAGTCATAGTGGTGATGGAGATAGTCCGATATGATGGGGATGGTCATGTCTGTAAATTAAGACTTATTTGAGCAATCGACTGTTTTTCTTCCCAAGTCGGGTGCCTCACAGAGCTAGACAATAAGCTAGGCTGTGAATCTCGTCCGCAATCAAAGCCATGTTTTCCTTTAAACGCACAAAATAATCATCATGCTGCCAAAAAGGTCAGAAAAGATGACCCATTAGGTACATGGACCAAAGCTGAGACACATCTCTTCTTGTGCATATTTAATCAATCCATTCAAGGATGTATCCATTGGAGGACACTATGTTGGAAACTGATCTCTTGCCGTTGAGGAGAATCCATCCACAATACTGATAATACTGTACATTCAGCCTTAATATTATATAGGAAAATAGGCCATTCTTTAAAAAATAAAAAAAGCTTTGACAATTTTCTAAACTTATTTGTAATCTTTTAAAGGTGACATTGATAAAATAACTTTTTATTACTTGTTTTTTTATTGTATGTGTCTCATTTAGAGATGGAGCAGATTTTGTAAAAAAAAAAACTTTTCTTGTGACTATAAATTTTAATTTAAGATCTTAAAATCTTAGGCATTCTCTAAAACCTTTACACTTTTTTCCATTTTAGATGTTTTTTAAATTTGGTGTGAGATGGAACAGTTTCAGAAACTATACTATACTAATACTATGCCTATACTAACCTACTTCATGCCAGAAGATCATTAAGTCGTCATTCTAATTTAATCTTTTTTTTTTGCAGGTTGTCTCCCTCTGTTCCATTTACAAGTCGGACATTAGACACAGAAACAGTACTTGGAGATTATGTCCTTCCTAAGGGAGTAAGTAATACCCTCTGTTTCACTGCAATATGTTTAGATCTTGTAGACTCAGTTCTTAACGAAGCAGGCTGTGAAAACAAACAAGCATCACATCAAGCATAAATCAGTGAAGCTTTCTTCCACACCTCTACACAGTCACTTCAGATAAAAAAATCAATGCTCCATTTGTTTCAGCCTTTCACAAAGCATAAATATTTTTTTCTTGGATTTGTATGTCAATTGATTAAAATTAAAGAACAAGTATCCAGCATTATGCGCTTTTTTCCCCAGTTGGAAATAAATATAAGAATTGTGCAACAGGTGATTAGATGATAACTTCCCAAAACTGCCTCCTCATTTTTCACACCACCTTAACCCTATAAGTAACATTTTTATTTATTCTGTGTATGTTCCGTAATTTAAGCATTTGAGTCTCAAGTGCCATGAATTATTTTATTTCTGCAGACTGTTTTGATGATCAACAGCCATGCCATGGGATCCAATGAGGAGTACTTTGATGATGGCAAGCAGTTTAAGCCAGAACGCTGGCTGCAGCAAAATCATACAATCAACCCATTCACACATGTGCCCTTTGGCATAGGCAAGAGAATGTGCATCGGCCGGCGCCTAGCAGAACTGCAGCTCCAGTTAGCGCTGTGCTGGGTAAGTACATTATTAACCTGGCATCAACAGGAAGACTAGACGGTACCGTAGTCTGCATTGACAGCCTGACAAAACGCTACATCAAGTCATATTCTGCTTTCAATGATTTAACAGATGTTTAACTTAATAGGCTTGTATAAAAGTACATTTAATGTTTTTCACTTCTGCAATTAATGTCCCATTTCCCACATTCAGTTTTAACCTGTCAGTTTTGGATGGTGGCGCAGATGGTTCATCTCTTACTACTATGTAATGCCTCTATGTGTCTGTCTATAAGCTGATTCCAGCATAAGCCATTGTGTTTTCTTTTGATTGCAGATTATAAGGGAATTTGAAATTGTGCCGACTGATAACGATCCAGTGGAAGCAATCCATTCTGGAACGTTGGTTCCCAACCGTGAACTACCAGTGGCATTTATCCGACGATGAGGTAATAGATTCAGTCGGGAGTAACACCATAATAGAAAGCAAAAAAAGAAAAACTAAAACAGCAGACACACAGGGACTCAATATTGAAAAGAAGAAAAATCAATGCTGGTCATTTTCAAAGAGATTATTTCTTTTTATTTTTGATGATCACTATATTTTGTGTGTGCTTTATGAATCCGTGTTGCTTCTTCAGAGATGATGTCAACTCTCCTTGTAAAACCAGCTTATGAGCGCTGCCTACCGGATGTAACTGAGGATGTGCTACAGTGTCTCAGTCTCCCTCTGAGATGTAGTAGTTGTATTTGTCTCTGCCTTTCCCCTGTAGTTGCAAATTTTGTATTTGCTTCTCCTGCAATACATCATGTGACTGCACACAGGGGAGAGAGGGAATGTGCAGGCAGACTCGTTCATCCCATCTCTGCGCCTTTGAGCCGCTTGCGTTTTTAACACATCACAGACAGCACATCCCCGTACCACAGGCTCACCCCTGGAGAAAGGAAGCTTCTCTCATCTATACTGTAGCACCCCTGAACCTACTCAAGCTGTGGAACCCTTATTCACTTATCTTTCCCTAAGCTTGGAGATTCACAGTCAGAATGTGATTCCTGAATAATGCAGGGTTTGACAATCTGAGTCCTGGAGGGGCCATGTGCCTACAATGTTTCAGTCCAGCTGTGCTCTTAATCTAAAACAGCTCCCTGTTGGTTTAATTGGACCAGTTTAGCAGGTCCTTCAAAGAGACCTGGAAAATGAATGAGCAGGCCAGGCCTCCAGGAGCAGGATAGGAGACCCCTTTGTTAGCAACATGATCCAGGTACAAACACAGGGTCACAGGACTCCCAACAGCTCATCTAAGTGGTTAGGCCAATCAGGAACACATCAATTTTTGAAACGGGAAAGTATCTCAATGTAGTTGCTTTTCTGTTTAATTTTTTTCTGAACAGTTGGCATCCTCTGTTGGAGCTTCAGGGTAACATTATCTCCAAGAATGATGTTGCTGTTGTCCACTGATCCCCTGAAGATCCCTCTTAAGTAGTTGCACTCTGAAAAGCTGGAAAAAAAATGGAAAGAACATTCTTTCACAGCCAAAAACGCCTCCAAAGGCAAAACAGTTTTGAAGTCAAGATATTCATACCATATGGAGAGTTCTGAGATATGAACATAACAGGAAAGCTGTTCTTTCCCATCTTTACATATCTCACCCATATGCTTGTATATGGCAGTGTATCTGTATATAAGGTTGTCATGTATAGAGTACTGCATTATTTTTTACTGTCTAAATTATAACCCCATTGTGTAATAATAAAATCAATTTTATAAACACATTGTACATAAGAAGCATTGTGCATTTGCATGTATTTTTATGTCATGAAATATAAAATAAATAAATAGTGTTTTAAATGCATACCAACTGCTTTAAAAGTGTTTTTACAGAACCCCTCAAGTTGAAGGGAATGTCTTTACGTGAAAAGAAGGATACAAACACAGCTGCTATACATTACACAAGCCTAGAATTAATAGTGATTTAATCAAATGTATTAAAATAAATACTGTATGCAGAATAATTACTAATTAAATGTATAGTGAAGTGAACGCATTTTCCTTAATGTGTTCTTTACTTTTTATTAACAATAATAATATTTCTGTACCTCCGAGAAGTACTCTGACTATATCCTATGTTGTCCCTAACTTGCTGAAAGCTGGTCAATTCTTTTGTTTTCTATTGAATTGATTGATGTAACACCCTACTCACTGAGGTATCTAAATTCACATTGGCTAAACTTCAGTATATCCAGAATCCTCACCAGATCTTGTGCAAGTGATCCCGAGGCCTTTCCTTCTATCTCCTCTTCTGGAGTCTTTGTACTGGCTTCCTATGAGGTTTTGTGGCAACTTCAAATTCCTCATGCTTGCCTATAAGGCTCTGCATGGCCTGACACCTCAGTACCCATCTGAATCTGTCAGACTTAATATCATCCTTCTCCATACCTTGCAACCTTGGCTCTTCTAATTTCATTCCCCAAAGCCTGTCTACACACTATGGATGACCTGGCCTTTTCCTGCCACACCCCAAAGCTCTGGAATTCTATCCCTAAGGATATGAGAGAGTCACCTTCCCTGGAATCAAGACTCTAAACCTTCTTCCTTAGAAGGGCTTTTATTAAAGTGGTTCTGTATCTGCCCCATTGCTTTCCTACTGTATCCCAAACCCTTGCTATAATCATATAAAATCTGTTGTCTCCTCTCAGTGTGTAGTTTTTTTCTTACTGTAAAGTGCATTGAGAAGCCAGTTTTAAAGATGCTATATAAAATAAAGTTGATCAATATTAGTGATTTAATAATGAATATAATAAAATAACAGTACCTGGTAGCAGTAATTTCACAGTAATGTGTAGGACATCAACAGTTAACCACCTATTTAGTCATATATTACAATAAGAGATACTGTTGTTGAAGTATGGTGATGTGACAATGGCAGCTCTATGTTTCTTGAACACTCATTCATCTTAACAAGTGCCAGTTAGGATTTCTAGGGAATTAACTTGAATAAAAACACAGGCTTGTGAATACTTAGTACTACAACTCTGTAGAAGTCTAGGGAGTGTACATTAAGCTTTGAAGAAACATCACTGTCAAATAGAGAACTACAAGCTGTTTTGAAGGCTTCCAAGCAAGTCCCTACTCATGCAGTGTAGAAAAAAAAAAGCCCTCATGTGTGGAAAAATATTGTGGGAGGCCTTGAAAGACAACTGTACCACAGTGTGAGTGAACTGCGAGATATGGAGAAAGTAGAATGATTTGGAATTCACTGGACAAATAGAAGGAATGAGCAGACATTGATACCAAGCAGGTGATGTCTTGTTGTGTGTGCAAACAACATCTCTGCAACATGTTCAATTTTAGTGTGATGAAATCTGCCAGGTTTCGGTTCAATTAGTGCAGTGCTTCACAAGACAATAGTAACCTGGATTTTCCAAATAAAATCGCATTTAAAGGAATTAATGCAGGAACACCATTTTGTAATATGTACAGTATATACAGTAGTATTGTTATGAAAATGTTAGCTACCAAAATTGGAGTTTATTGTCCAAACATGAAAAAAGAGTAGTTAAGAGGCAAGATTGCACCCATCATTTAGTAGTCCCTATTTATCTGGAATAAATAATCACATCAGATCAGCTTGGGAGGTGCAAATCAGAAGCAGTTTGCTTGTTCACGATATCAGCCAAGATTCAACAAAATGATGGAAATGAGGACGATCTGGTGGTGTCTCGGCCTAACAAGATCTGACCACGTCCTCAATGACGATGTCCACCGACGCATGGGAGTGGCACCGATAACGGAGAAGATGCGAGAAGGAAGACTGCGATGGTGTGGACATGTGATGAGAAGTGGGGAGCACACGGTGGCACGGACTGCGATGCGACTGAGCCCGCGAGGTCGGCCCAAGAAGGGGTGGGTGGATCGGATCACTGAAGACATGCGGGAAGTGAACGTCGCCTCGGGGCACACTATGACCGCGCCAAATGGAGACGGGCGTGCCGACAAGCGGACCCTGCCGATGTGGGATTAATGCTAGGATGAAGAAGGTGCAGCCGTTTCCAAGACGGAGGCAAACTGGGTTATTAGAAGAAAATGGCAGGTGGCCATCCTGTTTCTTGCAGAATTATGAGTGTGTCAGAATGATGCAAAATTGATTTTAACTACAATGCTACTTACTAAGATTTTGATAGATTTAGATTATTTTGTTGTGCTAGAGTGAAGATGGCTGGTTATCTTTTAACCCTAGGTCCCTACCTTGTTACCACAAAGAAGGTGCTGTCCAGGTTGTCTATAGTTCTGAATCAAATGCATAAAATGCCAGAATTCTTCCATGATTATCTTTGTCTAGGCATGGAGTTCAAACTTAGTGGCTGCTTTGTACTTGTTGCAGAATCCTTGTGGTGATACTGTTCATTGTTTACAGGAGTGAGTCTTGATTTAGAGACAGCTACTGTAAGTGAAACATATTCTAGGATGTATTGATATGTGATCATGTGTAATCAAGAACTTCACCATTAAAAATAAGGTATTCAAGAGTTTGTGTGGTAGTAAAAGCACTATACTGCAGGAAGAGGTATACTTGCATAAAGTGATCTTCCCCTTCACAGCACCCCGCAGAGTTTCCCAATAGTCTTTACTTTGGACAATTGCCTGGATAGAGGAAATATTTCATCCTGTGTCATTCACCTGAGCTGAGGCTTCAGTTCAACTCAAGAGACACGTGATGAAGGGAGCTCCAATTAAAAATCTAATCTTGCTATCTAACAAAAATTGAAAACTTGCAAACATTTGGAACCTTTCAATTTCATTTCAAAGTTTCATTTGGCTAAGGGCATGCAACAAAAGTGCAACAACATGTAATTTATATTAAATGACAACTTTCTGTCTGAGAGCTTTATACTTTCGAAGTCTGAGGGCTGTGGGAGGAGGAGTCAGGGTTAAGGTAGACTTTGGAGCACATCTGTAATTTCTGCAGTCAGAGATTCATTAAAAGAGCTGCATAAAATGTTTTTATCATTATTACTTGAGTTAAAGAAGAAGAACCTTCACTTATTTTTAAGTGGTTTTAAAAGTTTTGATGTTCATATAGAGAACGATACTTATGCAAAACACCTCTTTTAAACAATACCTTAAGAAAAAGAATAGACACTGCAGAAGACATTTTATTACTATATATTTAAAAATATATATTTTCAATTAAACCTGAGTGACGCATGTGTGTTGTATCCCTTTTCTAAGAATTCTAGAAAATGATTTGCCCTCATTCATGAATTCAACAAATTTGTATCCTCTTTTATTTGCACGGTAGCAATCTAAACAGTATATTCAAGGTTAATCTATTATGTCAACATGAAGACTGATAGCCTTGTGCCAGATCAGTTCAAAATGTATTTTTTTCTCTTTTTTGGTTATTATTTAATAGATGTTCATTCAGGACATTCAAATGGCAATGAGTTCTTCAGTTCTTTTACGCCACTGGCAGCTTATGTCAATGATTATAAGATAAGACCATTATCACTCTAAGATCCAAAAGTCATGTAAAATTGATTTTCTTCTGATATGGGTTACACATTAACTCTCATGTGATTTAACTAAAATAATGATGTGCCTGGTAAAATAGATCCAGCCTGGATTTAAGGACCCACAATCTGAATTTGTTAGTATATACCTGTATATATTTCATTGCTGCCAATGTAGGCGTACTCATCAGAAAACAGGAAATAGCCGTGCAGTGTTATAGAAGATGTGGATAAGCAGTGGCAGACCAGTTTATCTGTGTATATATATGAGCACTGTAGCCAAATCTTAGTATTTATTATCATTCTTACTTTACTTAACAAGATCCATCCATTCATTTTCTAACTGCTTCATGCGATTCGGGGGGGGGCAGGGAACTGAAGCCTATCCCAGCAAGCAATGGGCACAAAGCAGGGTACTCCATGGAAGGGGTGCCAGTCTATCCCAAGGCACACACAGACACAACCAAATACCCTACCAAACTGGAGCACCTGGAGGAAACCAACACTAATGCAGAGAGAACATAGAAACTCCATGTTGACAGCATACCAGGAATTGAACCCCAGCACTCTGAGGCAGCAACGCCAATCACTGCATCACCTACTGATTCTACAAATTCTAATTTACATAGACAACTAACTGGCTAGGCAGGGTACACTACTGTGATGGTAAAAAGAACAATAAAAGACAGCAAAAGAAGAAAAATATGACATTCCTTTTGCTGTCGTATTGTTTATTGGGATAGTGCCTTCATCCACCTTTAAGAACATAGAGAATATATTTAAGACTTTACTTTGCCTAAACACACCCTACAATAGTTTCAGTTTCAGGTGTTAAAACAGGTATGAACTGCTTACTTATGGGACTACCGCTAAAACATAATTACTATGAAAATGATAGCGTCTTAATTTAAGAGATCCTTTTGCATTGTTTTGCACTACCTATTCATGCACAAATAATAGATGCATCTGAATTTGTTTTGGGCACAGACAGCATAAAGGAAAAATAACATTCTTGGGCACTGCCTAGAGAACTATATTATTCATAGGTGTGGTCCATCCAGTCCACACTTGTGAAAATGGTTTAGCTCTGGTATGACTCATGATTCCTGAGGACAAAAGCTGAAACGTGTCAGGCCAGTTCTTGCTGTGGGACAGAAAGTTTCTCACAAGGTATGTATGACTCTGGTACATCACTAAAGCAGCAGGAAATCTGGAAAAAGTGTCAATTCAGACAGCCTCAGGGGTTGACATTACTGACATGTCAACCCAAATTATCCCATTGGGTCACATTATGGGGGGTCCACCCCTACCCACATCTCATGCAAAGCTACATAAGCCTCTGCTATGAGTTTTTTGCAGATGATGTACAGTATAAAGTAAGCTTGCATCACGGCAAATACGTGGACAGACAAATATTTGAATAGAAGGTCAAATTTGTAGAAAGACCAGAAAATATGTGGAACTCCTGTTCACCGTGTACAGACAAGAGCCCCACATTAAGTCATCATTTGCAAAAGTAACATTTTACTTTTTTCAATTTAGGTCAATTTTTTAATTTGGTCAATTTAGTCATTTGTTTTCATGTTCAAGCACATGCAGTATATAGACATGATACGTTTTTACACATTTTAGTGAAGTTGGTTAACATTAGCAGTAATGTAATAATAATCAGAGATCATATTAGTAAAGACTATCTGATTATTATTAACTGATCAATTATTAATGATCAGTGAAAAGCCCTTCAAGATAACATCAGAAGTTACACTCATATCCTCACCTATCAATTGCACCACTGAATGAGGACAAGCAATTGCTTTGCCCATCATGTTCAGGAAGTACTTGAGCTCAGTGTGAACTGAGTTCAAATTCATTCAATTCCTCTTGAGCAGAATCATCCATTACATTACAACAGTTTGTGCAACCTGAGGTTTCTATGACAGCAATAGTTAGGTCTTCAGGTCAATAACACATTTAGGATCAGTAGCTGTGCCATTTAAAAAATGCCTTCAGGCACAGGTGTTTCGTTAATCATTCATTCTACATTCTCTGAAAGTTAATCATTTTTGTACATTCCTCAACTTAAACTTTAAACTAAAAAAGAAAAAAACTCGATATTGCTCTTAAATATATTATAATTATAAAACCAGAAAAAATATTATATTAATCCTGCCTGTTTCAGCATTTCTTTTTGTTTCCTCTAATGTTTAAAACCCATCAAACACAGAAAGGACATTTTTTAAATTAATCAGCTGTGATAAACGGCGTTCATAAAGGCTGAAGATTCATAAACATGAAGTGTTCAGATACATAACATGCAGTGCAAGAGTTTGACTAATATATTTCATGTGAATACATATTTCTTTTAGTCTGTCAATGAAGAACATTCCTTTTCTCTTCTTTGTCTTTGAGCACATTTTGGTCACAAGGTGACAAACTGACAGTATTGTAAATGCCATCTTAATTCTGCAACTTCAAATTGTAATATCCATTGATTTAGAAGTGATGCCTTTTTGCTTACATTTTATTTGCTTTTTTCATTGTTTTCCTACATTCCTATACTGTCTGTCTCGAAGATGAAAATGCTGTCAGGATGAACTGGTAAGGTTTTCTAAGGTCGCCTGTTCAAGCTCAGCATTTCCCATTTTATAGTTAGTTTATAGTAATAGTTTTTATGTTTATGTTTTTGCTACCTGCATGAAACTCTCGGCACATATCTAAATTAGATATAATCTGTTAGCTGTTTTCGCTAGTCTTTCCTCTAAATCTTTATGAATTTAGTTCGCAGACTGCGTGCTCGTCACTTCTGTATCATATGCGTGTGCGACTAGTTTTCTAACTGTAACAGAATATAGATCATAAATATAAATCACGAAGAACAGCGGCTGTGTCCTATAAAAAACCGTATCCTATTAAACACTGTTCCATTATTGACATTTCTTATTCGCGTTAATTAGTATTGCTAGTAACGACAGCAAGAGTTAAGCATGCAACATGACGTTATAACTACCAAGTATTAGTTGGAAAAGAAATTAAGATAAAATACAAAATCCTTGACTAATATAGCATTCAATATTCGCAATGGAGGGAGAAACAATTATATGTTAAAAATCCCTTTTATGACTGTTTTAAAAAGTACTTATTCCAGTATCAAGAAGATAATTAAATGATTTTGTGACACGTCTGCCACCTGCAGGACATTAGAAGTATTACCGTAAAACTCCTTTTTATCGGCCAAACTTTTAAAGCTTCCATGCGTTCTTTGAGTGCGTCCCTTTAAACGGAACCTACCACTTGTTTAAATAAATTATATACATCCAGAAACCGATATGTGAGCTACACATAAAATCTTTGTGCATTGTACTTAATTTTATTAATATTTTAAAGTAAAAAATGAGAACCCGCACGTCAATGAAAACGCTGTAAATCAAAACAAATACTCCAGAAGGTATAATTCTCCACGTGAATGAATAGATTCGTCCATAAAAATGGCAGCGACCATGAAGAAGTCTGTTGTAAGTAATTCTTAACAGGTTTTAGATTTTATTAATCTTTTTGTCGGTCTTGCTGGGTAGGCATGTATTATGTGTAATCTGGAAATTAAAGCTGCTAAAGCAGTTCTATTAGCGTGTGCACTAATTAGGTCCATCTTCGTTATAGACTGTTATGGGTGTGGTGGTTAATATCGGTGAGCTTTTGATCTGTTGTTGGTTTCAGACAGTAATATATAGTTATATATTGCATTCCATAAAGCTCTTTAGTAATTTATTATTAAGAATACAATCCTAAACGCCGTTAGTAAACGACAGCTGCATTTCACATAAGCAAGAGACGAAAATGGGTGGTATTAAGTAAAAATAATACGCAAACGCTTTAAATGGAATGAATGAGGTTTAAATTTCTGAAGTTGCAAGTACAATCTCTATATCGTTGGATGATTATCTTTGAAACTATTCTTATTATTAACAAAAATAATTTGAGCACGCAGTATGTGACCATTGGATTTTTGTAAATGACTACAGCTGAGGACCAGGTCTGAGAGTCAGTACCCGGGGATTTTTCAAGAAATTGCCGAATGAGATACTCTGATCAGTACAGGGTAGCTACTACAAGCACCAACGAGCTAAGTGGGCCCACTTGCTTTCTTTTCTTTACATTTTTTCATATCTTTATAGGCAGTAGAAGACGTGAACGTCACCTTTGAAGACCAACAGAAGATTAACAAATTTGCTAGAAACACAAACCGGATGACTGAACTCAAAGAAGAAATAGAAGCAAAGAAGGTATATTTATAATTGGCAAGTGCACATTAGCGCATTTAATTGAAGGCTATTAAAACTATCTGAGCTTGGAAGAAAACTATTCTAAAATACCAGTAGCAATCACAAACAACAACAACAACAAAAAAAGGTTTGCCTTGTTGTTGGGCAGATCTCCTCAGTTATGTATTCCATGATGACGTTTGCCTCTCTTCTTCAGAAATCTCTTCAGAACTTGGAGGACGCCAGTGATGACATCATGATGTTTGATGATGACACCTTACTAATTCCGTATCAGATTGGTGATGTCTTCATTAGCCACACCCAGGAGGAAACACAGGATATGTTAGATACTGGGAAGGTAGGCCTAGCTTTGTGAAGTTCATTCTAATCCATGGTTAGTAAACAGCTGTAAGAGTCTTACTGCTCTAGGGTCCTGGGTTGGTTTCTGGACTGAGGTGAATTCTCTGTTCTTGCTCTGTTTGATGGATGGATGGATGGAGTAAAAAGCAAACTGTTGTCTCATATAATTTTACAGATTACATAAGTTACATTACTGAAAGCACATTTTATTGCTTATCTTCTGCAGAGGGTGTGTTTTGTAGAGCAGCGTGGCGGTTTTTATCTTTCCTGTAACAGTCTTCTTTCTGAAGAGCTCAATAACACTGATCGCTTTGTTCCTTTTTAACGAGTTCTCACTTCTGAGTAAGTCTTACCCTGTGATCAGTTAACAGTCAGCTGGAAAAAGCTGTCGTAATGCTCATCAATATAGTATGTTTGATCTGCTCTCTTAAAACATGACCCTTCAGAATCAGTTCTCAACTTTATTTGTACTGAAATGCTATGAAAAGAAACCTAAAACAGCTGTAGACTCACCTAATTATCTTAATAGATGCAAAAAAATGGAATGTGAAAATTTGAATTGTTTCACAGCAGTAAATGAAGTTATTAAGGAAAAATAACACAGAATTTTTAATTTAACATATAGTAAATAAACACAAAGGTGATATTTTCAGAGTTTCCTGCAAGGAATGTGTGAGATTTTCTGCTGAAATCTTGCAGGTGCATACTATTTGCATTGATGGTTTCTTTTAATTTTTGTACAAAAACACATTGGTTAATTAATGAAGTTGTGAGTCTCTATAGCAGTTTCTAAATTTTATGTTACTTTGTTTTTTTTAATCAACTTTGACTTGATGTAAATACTTGAGGTCTGAGAATTGTGAGATTCTGTACCATTGCAGCTACTGGCAGATAAATGATCTTGCGGTGTATCATTATGAAACAGTATCTCAGTATGGATTCTTGTGTATATTATGTCTGCATTTTTTGGCCAGACGGTCCGTCTGGTCTGTATACAATAATAGAGAATAGTATTACTCCAGAAATTATGTCGAGCCAAGATCCCAGATTCCTCTTTGCTTATTTAACCATGTTTCAGTGTACAGTTTCAAGCTTACTTGTAACTTTTATGTGACTATGAAATATACCTTATCAGAAGTTTTCAGCTGTCCATTGATATTTTGTACCATCAATTGACACCCTATTCATATCAATTTCTACCTCCTATACTTAAGCTGTTGAAGCTTTCCAAGTTTGGGGATAGCTGAACTGACATCAAGATTGTTAAAATTAATGCATATTCATACTGGTATGAATGATCATTTACTTTAATAGAAGAAAACTATTTAGTAGTGTGGTTTCCTACACTTACTTTAACAGAATAAGAAACCATAAAATATAAATTATTTTCCTTTGCCACTCTCAAAATATAAGTTTGAAAATTAAACTCTGATGTACTCTAACCTGAGGAAAGCTGGAAATGTGAAAGTAGTTTTCCCACAAACAACTCCGACAAGACAACTCTGACTTAGAAATAAATGTAGATTACTTTTGTATATTGTATAAATTACCTATTGTTGTTATATACTGTTGTACCTGTGAGGAACTCTGTGTGTGTTGGCTGTGAAGGAACAGGTTAATTTCACGATGGAAAAACTAGAAAAGAGAAACCAAACATTTTGGCTGAAGAGTCAGGTATTTGTAGATACTTTATATACTTTGTACTGTGTACTATATACTATAAAGTATATACAGTATTTTTGTATGTTGATTCAGTATGAAGTGCAAAATTAAGGATTATTTATTTCCACAAAGAAAATCAAGTATTTTCTGTAAAGGGTGTGTTTTCTTGCTCCACAAGTCTTTAACTGGAATGGTAGATGGGCTCTGCTTGTTTACTTAGTAACAATGGTGTTCATATTTTCATCCTTAGGAACTGCTAAAAGAAGAAATCAAAGCATTGGAGGGCCGGGTAGCATCAATTCAGCAAATACTGTCTGATCTCAAAGTTCAACTCTACGCCAAGTTTGGAAATAACATAAACCTGGAAGCTGACGACAGCTGAAGCCCCTGTTCTGTGCTTGAGAGAGATGAACTTTTCATGCAGATAACACATCAAAATCCCCAGAATTCCTATGACACAGAGAGTTTATAGAACTTTTTTTTAATGGTCCTCTTCAAAATGCATACGTAGATGTTTTCTTTTTTCTAGAAAATAACATTTGCTTATTTATTGTTTTTGCATGAAAACAGGAGAAATCACAGAGTGGTAGAGCTTACAGCATTCGTTGACAGTGTATTTGTTTGCAAAACACACAATCTCAATAAAAGCCAATGTATAGTGATGTGTTTTTTGGATTTTAGCATATTTTCACTGTCTCTGCTTTCATCGTGGCCATCAAATAGAATAATAAAAGCCCAGGTTCAAAGAAAGTTTACCATAAAAGACCAGTTAAATTCCATAAAGTCCGTAATCTTAGTAGAAAAACCCTTTGTAGCGTTTTCAGTAGCTGAGAATCTGAATTGAAACTACAAAGGAACTGTATTTCATTCAAATTATGATGATTATGGTGTTTTCAAAAACTTGGTAAAATACTAAATAAAGTAACATTAACATTAAATTCAAAGAAAAAAGAATTGCAGGATGAACTATTGGAGAGACAAGCCTTACATGTATTTTGTTGGAAAATTTTACACAGAGGTAAAAAGGGTAATGTGAGAAGGCAGGAAAGGTATAAACAATGACGGTCTAAGGTAAATTGTAATGTTTTTCTAAAGGCTATATTTACAATCTTATTCTATGAATACATTTTTGTGAGACAACATTTCTGAGAGAGCAGTAACAAAAGTGTGAATTTTTCAGCGTTGGGCGAATGGTACTGTAAATGTAATTGAGGTTTTGTGAGTCATTAATCTTAATGGATTTAGCTCTTTCGTATGTTTAACATGCCTGCACATAAAACCCACAAGTAAAATAACAAATGGATTGAAAACCCATGTAAAACCAGCCCCCCTTTGACAAGGATAATTCCAGCAGCTGTGCAATATACTTGGTGAACCATGGTAATACAAATATTTGTATACACTTTCCTTTGTTTAACAGTCATAGATGCATCAATGCTTCATGTAGGAGATTTAAGGCAAAAGTTTCAGTGTTGCCTTCAAAGTGGATTTGTCTTCTTTTTTCAGAAGAAGTAGACCTGTTGGGTCAGACCCATAGGGAAAGTGACCTTGTGTTCTAATTAGCTGCAAAGTGGTGATCACTTTTCTCCTACATTTTGATAGTCCATCTAGCTGAGTATGTGTAATTTCTGGATGTGGCAGCAACTGACAAAAGTCCCGTATTGCAAAATGTACCAAATGGATCAACTGGTTTGTAACCTTTCTGTCAACAGTACTGTCACTGGCATAGCAAACTCTTGATGCAATAACGGCAGTAATTTCCATAAACATTTAAAATTTAAGTATAATCCCATGCTTCAGTTTAAACAGGAAATCATTTAGTAACGTATATTAATGGGTACACTGCATAAAATATACAAATGAGGGGAAGGTAGCCATTTCAACATTTCTTTGACAACAAGGCTGGGCAACGTCTGCAATACTTTGTGCACAAAAGGGCCCCTGTTCTCGGTTTTAAACGCACTTTCCCATATTTTCTTTTTATCCTCTGGTTTGTGTTTCAGTACCGGTTCTGTGGTTCTTCTGGGTTGATGCTGTCAGGGACTGTGAATGAAGGCCACTCATAATTTTCTCTGGTCAAGACTAAAAACGATTCAGTTTAGAATATTCCTTTGAGCCCAGGAATGTACCTGGACTAATTGAAGACCCAGTTTAGCCAAGACCATTGCCACTGACAGCCGTATGATATTGCTGAATGATATTCATCAGTTAATAGTGATAGATTGCTATTTATTTTTTAAGGTTGGAGAAAGGGCTCTCTATGCTCTTAGACCTTTTCTTAGCTGGACACTGTATTGTTTATTTTGCTAATCTTTCAGTAAAACAGAGTTTCATTTACAAAGTTGTCAGACATCACTATAGTACAATCTTGTGCTTACTCATAAAGGAACTTTCTGAAGCTTAGTACTTTTTCCTGGGCAAGATAAACATAAGTTCCAATATTTTAAAAAATCATAAAAAAGGCATTCCCTGTACAGAATAAAAGTAGCTGAAGTCAAGCTGGTGAAAGAAAGGCTAGAAAATTCAGATATTAGAAAAGGCTCAGCAGGCAGAAATATGATTATTAGTGTTTTATTGGCTCTGCCTGGGCTTGCAGACTGTAGATTCACAGTGGGATATGTGCAGCATTTGTTTGGTAAAAAAATAATCTCATAGCAACACTTTGAAATAGTAATATATGGTGAATAATAACAAAGTAGATGTGGGGGAGTGCTGCATTCAGTATATATTCTACATATGAGTGCAATACTGAGTTATATTATTAGACTTTTCTGTTTGCTATCCCACATCAGTGGCATTTCATACAAAGCAATATTAGACCAGTGTGTAGCACACAGCAAGTTAAACCTGTAAGTTTGGAGGCAGTTTGCTGAGCTTTGATTTCTCCAAGATTTTTATATTCCAGTTCTGTCTCTTCTACAGGAAACTGTTGCCAAGACAGACAATTTTAAGGCTTGATGAGCTTTTCAAAGTCTTGATGTTTTTATTTAATGTACTGTTGAAGTGCTTGTGCTGTTTCCTAAAATTATTATGTGTAGTATATATACACATCTGTGCAGGGTTTTTAGGAAGATTAGACCAGATCAAGCATTACAATATACTGTATATGTGTTAATAGCATCAGTAATAGAGAACCTTCTCTAATGGTTTCTACTATTGTAACAGCCAACTACTGTTACCACATCTTTTTTTTATATGGGAAAGAACAAATCCTTTAGAAAAGTTTTATTCGCATTGATCAGAAGTTTTAAACTCTTTATCACTCAGGGGAAACTACGCATGAGCACCCAATACAAGGCAACAATATCAATCAAATCAAGATGACTTATTGTCAGGTGTTCCTAAACATCAACATCAATTCTTCTGCTCCGCAAATCCATTAATCTAAAAGACTGTGCTTTGTACAATGCGAAACACATCCATCAGGATTAACTCTTAGAACAAAACGGTGCAAAGCAGAAGCAGAAGATCTCCATTGAATTATTTCTGTAAATAGAAGACAAAACCCTGAATAGAAGAGCAAAATAGTGTAAAATGTCTGCAATGCTATATAATGCAATCACAGAAAGAACTGAAAGTTTTAATCCCCTGAGATATATTGGAAAGATGAAGAAAATCAAGCAGAGCACTGGTATAGGCACAAAACTCTATTCTCTGTGAACTCTACAGTATTCAGGGGTTCTCGGCTCTCTTCCTGCAGGTCCCATAGGTTGTATGCAGCAGTGATCCCAATCCTGATCTTGAACAACCTACTGTACAGTATGTGCACAAGGCTGGTTCTCAATTAAGCTTTTTGAACCTTAAATTGAAAGTTTCAGTTCCTAAAAACAAGAGTCAGAAATGACCATAAACCATGTAACAGATTTGAGAGCCTCTTTCTTTAAGAATTATTCTGTAGACGACTAGGTTCTGTAGATGGAATTTTGAACTAATGCTTCTATTCACATTCTCAAATCCTTGGTATTACAACATTCTAGTTAGGATAAATGGCTCCTAAAATGTTGTATGTTTCTGTGTTTGAACTGACAACCTCTTTCTACATTCTGATATTTGCCAGCAAGCAAGTTCAAACATGCATACATCTGCATTAACATTTGGTGCCATTTATCTTCCTGATTCCAACTCAGTTGCTGTTCCAGTACCTTTTATTCTGGGGAGTCTTTGTGTTTGTGTCCAAATATTGTCTTACTATTTAGTGTTTCTATGTGCATAATTATGGTAGAAATGTGCACATCAGGTGTTTTTATGTCAATGATAGTATTATTTATAATATGAATACATCAATTTAACTAGATGAATGCTCTATAATTATTGTGACCATGTACCTCCAGGGACACCTAGGCATTTTCGGACAGGTAGGCTTCTTAAAACAGGTCTTAATTGTAAAGATGTTGATTGATAAATTCAGCATCATGCCTTATGTTAAAAATAAAATCAGTATTTAACAGCCTATACACAACACAAATATTGTACTGATCAATTATTCACTATAAAATCATTCCTGAAAATTACTTTTATAATAAATCTGTAAAATTGTTGAGCTGTTCATATCAATTATGGTTGGTTGTTTGGTCAGGTTCTTTGCCAAAATATTGAACAGATGAATGGTGTTACTACATATAGGCACTCATTTGAATTGAAATATCTTTTAAAATAAATCTGTAGTTTTGAAATCCCATCCTGTCTCAAAAGTGTCCCAGTCAACATGGAGTCAATTGGTAACTGTATCTACAACGGAGTAAAAAAGTTCTATTTTATTTTGGTGAAAACAGCACAGGATTTTGGTTAAAAACAGTTTCTTAAGTGTAACACTGTTCCTTTGGATCATTGAACACAATTTTAAGTACTTTAACAGATCAGCCTAGAAGAGAAAAAAAGTTCAGAACTGAGTGTTTGCTTTTGGATTTTTTTGATGATAAAAATATCAAAAAACAAATTTTTTTGAAAGAAATAAAAAAAATCCAAAAGTAAACACTCAGTTCTGAACTTCTCCTGCAAGAGGAGGCAGAGAGGTTAATTATATTTCAATGTAACTAAGCTGGGTGTTTAGTTTTACTGGGAAGGTTATATTACTAAAAATCTGTTGAGACTGTTGAGACCATACAGGCTTTCCCAAGGTGAGCATCCCAAAAGGAAATACTGTATACAATTTTCTGCAGAAACTGACTAAAAATCCAGTGTACTTTATTACCATCTTATTTTGGTCTGAACCCACTGCAGAGCACATCAATGATATGTCACTTGCCGTAACCCTCAAATGGTGTTTCTGCACAGCTTGTTTGTAGTATAACAAAATAAACCACCTGCGATTTTAACATTCAAATCAATGTTACACAGTACAAACCCACTGAAGAGGTTATTTAACTCTGGGGGCTGTAGTAACACAAAATAAAGCTGTTGCTGTTATTATGTTTTCCCGGAAAACAAATAAAGCCTTCAGTGTGCATTTTAAACCAGATGATCAGGGGAGGTCTACCTCTCCCCTGATATAAAGAGACAGTGTCTGTGGTATGATTATATTTTTCATTTGGAAAAATGCCCAAAATGTGAGCTCCTTCAATATATTACAAGTCGGTTTTGCCCCAGAGGCCTTTACCTTATTAAAGGAAATAGGAAATTCTTCTGCTCTTGATTCCCGGCTGTTTGCTTGAGTATTAAGATT